GAAAAGAAAGAAAAGAGAGAGAGAGGGAAAGGGAAAGGGGAAGGGAAGGAAAGGAAGGAAGAAAATATCCAAGACATTATCTTTGGTGGGCGAGTTAGCTCGGCTGTCTGGGTTTTACGATTAGCTTGTCTAGAGACAAAACTCAGAGGACTCGGGTCTCGGTTGGCCAGACGAAGGGGGACTCGGAGCAGGTGCGGAGCGCGGGAAGCCACAGGCGTGGCGGGAGCTGGGCGGTGGATGTCGCTCCCGTCAGGCACCATGGGAAACACGCCCAGGGCCGGGGAAGCTGCCGGCCGTGGTGCCGCCCGGGACGTTTGTCCCCCGTTTTCTGAGAGAAGTGACTGTCAAGACGGCTTCCGGGGGCTGGGGGTGCTCGGACTGTCGCGTGCGAGGAGGACGCCGTGACTCGCTCACTGCCGCGGTTTGCCGTACACGCGTGTCCTCAAGTGGCTTTGGTACTGACTGACTGGCGTCTGACTCCGTCTATGAGAGTCTCGCTGTTAAGCGATCGCTTTCCAGCGGCAAGAGCCGCTGTCCGTTAGTAAGAGCCGCTGTCCGTTAGTAAGAGCCGCTGTCCGTTAGTAAGAGCCACTATCCATTAGTAAGAGCCGCTGTCCGTTAGTAAGAGCCGCTGTCCGTTAGTAAGAGCCGCTGTCCGTTAGTAAGAGCCGCTGTCCTTTAGTAAGAGCCGCCGGGCGGCGGGAGACGCAGGGCGCGATTCCGAGAGCCGCTGTGCGCCGTCCATGTAAGCCGGGACGTCCATCTCCGGCTGGACCGCGCCGGGTTCCTCTGTTAATGGCCGAGGGGGGACGCACTCCGAGCGTCTGACAGACGTGGGCGGACGGAGCTCACTGAATCAAGATGAAATACATTTCTGCGTCCGCGGCCTTGCGCCATGGGAGGACGGAAATAAAATCGATCATCCGGTTACAAGTCAGCAGTCGAGGCCTAACTGGAGGCCAGGGGCCCCGGTTAATGGCACGTTTCACGGTGACAGACCTAGAAGAATGCTGTCTCCCGTCCGTCATTCCAGGCGGTTTTGGCGTTGGCTGTTCTTTCTCCTCTGTCCCCCGACAATTCCCTAAACGCCAGCTGGGACCGAGGTTCAACGTGCTCTTGAAGTGCCCAGGACATTTCAAGCATGGTCTTTGTTTGGCTTAACATAAAAATCTCCTCCTCGAGAAGGGCGAAGTGTCCCCCACGCGATGCTATGCGTGGACGGATGTGTCTCCTGAGGAGAGGTGGGAAGTCCCGTGACCCGTGATGTCGGAGGCAGAGGGTGAAGGCAGTCGCTGCAGCAGCTGCACCTGGTCCCTGCAGCCATACCCGGTCCCTGCAGCCATACCTGGTCCCTGTAGCTGCACCCGGTCCCTGCAGCTGCACCTGGTCCCTGCAGCCGCACCTGGTCCCTGTAGCTGCACCTGGTGCCTGGAGATGTACCTGGTCCCTGCAGCCGCACCTGGTCCCTGTAGCTGCACCTGGTGCCTGGAGATGTACCTGGTCCCTGGAGCTGTACCTGGTCCCTGGAGCCATACCTGGTCCCTGCAGCCGTACCTGGTCCCTGGAGATGTACCTGGTCCCTGGAGATGTACCTGGTCCCTGGAACCGTACCTGGTCCCTGTAGCCATACCTGGTCCCTGCAGCCACAATTCCAGGCCCCCAAGGCTCCCACCTTCCCTGCAGGTGTCCCCGGGAAGCTCTAGCAGCAGGACAGAAGCTGAGTTTTAGCACCTGCAGGGGATGAGGGCAGGGTGGAGGGCTGGGTGCCATCGGGGAGGTGGATCCTGCTGCTCACACTCTGCCGTGGGGGCCGGCAGGTGCACCTGGGAAGCAGAAGCGACGTGTGAAAGGCCCAGCCATGTGCCTGCGTGGGACGGTCCGTGTCCGATTTGCTCCCGTGGGTAGGTCCTTGGTGACGGCAAGAAAGTGGGGCGAGGGGCAGGTGGGCACTTAGCTCGGAAATTGTCCTCTCGCAGGAAAAGCCGGGAACCAAGCTGGGGGACAAGACAGCCTTGTGCCCCCCTGGTGGATGCCAGGGGCCCCACCTGCCGCCTCTGCCCCACTGTCACCAGGGTTGACCGCCCACCGTGCCGAGTCACTGGCACCACAAGTGACTGAAGTCTTCGGGGACACGCTTTTTGACGTGGCATCTCACCTAGAAGCTGTGGTCCCCCAGTCAGGCCAGGAAAGGGGGAACATGCAGCCCCTCCCGCCCCGCAGCAGAGAGCGGAATCAGAGAAGGCTCGTCCCCGAGAGTGTCCACAAAGGGACCCTGGGCCGCAGCCCGGTCCTGAAGTCCCCACTCTGCAGGGACGTCTGCAGCATTCACTCTGGGCGGGGCGGGCATGGACAGGGTTCACACCCCACAGTGGGGGGGTCACAGACACAGCCGGGTCACTGGCAGTACATGGTCACCCTCGTGACACTGAGCACGGGGGATGTTGGGCGTGGGGCAGGTGTTTGGAGCACGTCACCGCAGGGTGGTCCACACGGGGGCTGCGACAGGGCCGGTGGGGCTGGTCCTTCCTCCCCACCCCCGTCTCAGGGTTGGGTGATTCCCCGGTGATGGTGACACCCCACCGGCCCACTCTGCGGCCACAGCTGGGGACACGACATAGGAGGGGTCCTCACGGGCGATTCTGTGGCACCAGGCACCGGCCGGGCGTCTGGCACACAGCGCCCCTCCTGGACGCCGCCCAGACCCTCCTCTCTGTCTTTACCCCGCAGAGAAGGTCTATCTGGCTGGGAAGGAGGGAAGGGGCATCTGTGCCTTGGTCTCTTTGCCTCAGTTTACCTTTTTAAGTATCTGCTCAGCTTCAGAAAATCTCAGCTTCCCACCGACAGGGGCCGGCTGGAGCTGCAGATGGACCCTCGTGATGGGACAGTGAGGCCAGACCCCAAACCTCGGTGGCTGAGACCACTCAGGCACTGTCTCCCCCTCCTCAGTTTTCCTTTTTTTCTTCTGTTTCCATGGTGAACACAGCTGTTGACAGGCCCCAGGAGGGCCGGGGGGGCTGGCCCTCCCTGCTGGGCGGTCACAGGACCGGTGCCCCTGCTGGGTTAGGTCCTGCCCACACTCCTGGCCTCGGCAGCGTCAGGTCTTGCGTGTTTGTGCCCGGGGCGTGCGCTTGAACACTGGACAGAGGGACCGGCTCAGAGTATGTGTCAACCCTGGGACCCAGGTATTTATCCTGAAAACACCTTGCCTTCCAGAAAGCAAGCTCTTGAAAATATAGAGTTTAAGTTAGATAATTAACTTTATAAATTATTTTAAAGAAAGGATACAC